CTCCTCCTCCTCCTCGTCCTCCTTCTCCCGCTGCTCTGCACAGCCCCTGGTGAGTGAGCACCCGGCCCGCGGTGCGAGGGGGTCGGGGAGGGGTGTCAGAGGGAAGGTAAATCCCGGGGAGCAGCTGAAAGCCTTCCCCTGGCATCCCGTGTGGGTGAACAGTTTGGGTCACTCCAAGACCAAACAGCTCAGCTCCAAGGCAAGTTGAGCATCTTTTTCGAGGGAATAAAAGAAAGAGCTCGTTTTCGAGGGAATAAAGCATTTCGGAGCAGCCAAAGCTGGCTGCCCAGCCGTCGCGAAAGCCCTGGATCCCTCCTGGGAAAGGGCTGGAGCAGGACGACAGCTTGGGTGTGCTTTGGGACAGGCTGCAAGGGAAAACCTTGAGGCAGCCCGGTTGTTCACAAGCCCCTCGCTCGGTGACAAGGGCTCTCCGGGGCCATCATGCCGCCCTGGGCACTCTGTCACGGTGCTGGCAGCGGCTGTGACCTCCTGCTGCGAAATACGGTGAGTTAATTGGCTAAGAAGGCCAGTTTCGGGGTCCCCATGCCAAGCAGAGTTGGGGAGAGGAGGCTGGAGCATCAAAAGCTTCCCCATAGCATATGTTGAGTTCAAGCGTGGAAAACAGAGGCAAAGGGAGGCTCTGGGAGAAAACTTCTTGCAGAGTTTTGTCTGGTGGTCTGGAGCTGGGACAAAAATACTTGCGGTATTTTTCAAGATAGGATCTTTTGTTTTGGTTGTTATTTCCATCTCGGTAAACACAGGCATTCTGTTTTTGCTTGCCTAGATGTTTCAAGGGGAAATAAGCTTAAACTGATGCTGCAGAAACGTGAAGGTAAGTAAAGAGATGTCAAAGCGCTTTGTCCTTTGAGTCAGCTGCTGCCAGTCATGGAATGGTTTGGGTTGGAAGGGACCTTAAAGACCATCTAGTTCCAACCCCCCTGCCATGGACAGGGACACCTTGCACTAGACCAGGTTGCTCAAAGCCTCACCCAGCCTGGCCTTGAACACTTCCAGGGATGGGGCATCCACAGCTCCTCTGGGCAAAGTCCAAGCTGGCAATGTGTCGCCACTATATCCAGCTCCAAGAGGGCGCTCGGAGCAGAGTACAGGCACCCGGCTCAAAGCTGGTAGACACAGCTGCTCTCGCTGCAGGCCATACTGCATACAGTGCCGTGCATACGGTGCTGTCCCTGTGGAGCCTGTGCCTGCACGTCCATCTGGGACTTGGTGCTGGCAAGGCTGGAGGTTCTGCTCACCCCAGCCTCAGCCTGCGTTTTGTTCCGTGCAGCATCCAGCCCCTACCTTTTCCAGCATGTCTGTAGCAGACGTGGCGCTTATCCAGTTTATTCTGGGAAGTCACAAGCTTTTCCAAGGAATCGTAACGCATAGAAATATTGCTGGCTCAGGTGCAGAGGAGAAAATGTGCACACCAGGCTTGCCTGCAATGCCTTGACTTGTTCCCTTTGTCTTAGTGTGCTTCCTCCTTGGAAGACTGCTCCCTCTCTATGGGAGAGATGATGGCCGAGGGCCCAGCAGGCAGAAGCATGGAAGAGCTTGCTGGTTGAGGGAAGGGGATGGCAATGGAGTTGGCCGGGGACAAGCAGCACATGGGGGGGCAGGCTGAAATACCCCAGGAGTTTTGGTTGCCGCCCCTCAGCCTGCTCCATGGATGAGGCAAAGAATTTACACCCCTCACAGGGGGGACTCCCACTTTCTGTAGGCCTGTCTAACTCCTCACTGGGGTTTTCCTGGCAGCACCCACCTCTTGCCGGCCCTAAAACTTGTGCCCCATCCATGGCTGTTTTCCTTGCACGTAGGCCCTACCTCACCACGCTGGCACGCAGGCAGGAGTGACCACGCTCCCTGCGCCCCAGCGGCAGCCCACTGGTTTGTTCAGTTTCCCTGGTGAGAGGGACCATCCAAGGGAAGGCTTTTGGAGCGTACAGACAACGTGGCCTAGACCAGGAAGAACTGCAAAGCCTGGAATTGATGGTGGAGGGAAGAGGCAGCTCCCGAATTCCAGCCTAACTCCCCCTTTCCAGCCGTGCACGGACACGAGCAGGCTCAGTATGCAACACTGTTCCCTTCAGGCAGTGTCCCTTGCGCGAGGCTCGTTCACGTGGCGTGTGTCCAGCTGTCCTGCTCCCCAGTAATAACGCCCAGCTCAAGCGCACGTGGAGTTATCCATTTCCAGCTCATCGCCGCAGGGCAGCCTGCTCTTCCCCACACTTCTGTCTACCTTCGCCTCCTCTGAGTCTGCCCAGCCTCTGCATGAATGCTTTTCACGTCTCCACCCTACTTACCCTCCTGCTCTAATCTCTTGCCTCGCATCCTCCAAAAATCTCCCTCCACACCCACGTTCCCAGTCCCTCCCTCATTGCAATGAACCCTCTGAAACCAAGACATTCCTCCTATTCCTGCACACGCTCCTTCTTTTGCAGGAAGACCAAACATCCTGCCGCGTTGCCTGCATGAATGCTTTTCACGTCTCCACCCTACTTACCCTCCTGCTCTAATCTCTTGCCTCGCATCCTCCAAAAATCTCCCTCCACACCCACGTTCCCAGTCCCTCCCTCATTGCAATGAACCCTCTGAAACCAAGACATTCCTCCTATTCCTGCACACGCTCCTTCTTTTGCAGGAAGACCAAACATCCTGCCGCGTTGCCCAGTGCAAGGGGGAGTCATTGCCGAGGGTGGCAGGGGGCTGGCCAGCCCCCTCACCTTTCAGAGGTGCACGAATTCCCCGAGCGGCCGCAGCAAACTGCCTGCCCGTCGGGCACGGGGCAAGCCAGGGGCACGTCTGGGTCTGGCAAAGGTGTTCCCCTGTGTCCACCGAGCGGTGTGCCGTGCAAGCCCGAGGGGCTTTTATTTTCAGGCATCCAGGGCATTTAGTAGCACTCACTTAAAAGCTATGTTTTTACACATCAGATTCAGGAAATCTGTCTTTTTTATGTGCGCCTCCCTTCACCCTAAGGAGTTAGCAGTGTTGCTCCAGCTTCTTCAGGCTTTTCCACTTCACCTCTCCTGTCCCGTTCCTGTAGCAGCAGCACGCGGAGGCCAGTCTCCCGGTCCAGTCTCCTCAACGCACAACACAGTGCGCGTGGGCTCTTTCATTTTGGGTTTGTTTATTTAAATTCCTTACTTAGCTTGTATCTTTGAGCTCAGAATAGCTTTTATAAAATCCAAGTGAATGAGGGTAGCAGGGAAATCCTACTACTCCGGCGATTCCTGGGTTTATTACCGTTACTGCTGCAACACGCACCGTGCTGCTGAGCACCAAGGCGATGGCATGAGGCGAGAAGCATTTCCTCGCTTGCCGCAAGCAGCGTGCTTCAGGCTGACTAAAGTTTTCCTGCCATACCTGCTGGGGCTGAGGGGGGGCGGCAAATTAATTTCAGCCCCTGTAGCCACGAAGCCCGAGGTGTCAGTGCAAGAAACGGCGGCCAAGGAGTTCCTAAGCAGCCTGCGACGCCAGAGACGCCAGCTGTGGGACAGAAGCCAGCCCGACGTGCAGCAGTGGTACCAGCAGTTCCTGTACCTGGGCTTTGACGAGGCGGTGAGTGGCTTCCGGCAGCTGGTGGGGGGCTTCAGGGCTGAGGGTGGATGCGCAGCCACGGGGGGCACCCAGGGAGAAGCCGCTCTGTTTCTGCTCACAGGCGCTGTGATTTCTTCTTGTAAAGTAGCAAAGATTGCACAGAAATAGAAGTTCTGTGTTTGTTAGAGCTCTCCTCATTGTTTTGTTAACAGAGAAAAAGGACATTCAAGTCTTGCACGGAGTTCTTGCCCTGAACTTAACAAATTCCAGCCAAAGTTTGCTTTGAGGAATAGGCAGCCCAACCCGAAGCAATCCATCGTATTTCAGGAAATTAATTTGGCAGCCTCAACCTTATCAATTCGCTTTTTAACACGCTGAGAAATCCGCCCCCCAGCCGGTCGTGACTGGCACCCCTCAGTGTTGTGGCACCGATGTAGGTGACGCAGGCACGTGCCTCCGCGACGCAGGCAGCCCCTGACCACGGCGAGTGCCGGCAGCTGCGCCTCAGCTCCCAGCGCGCAAGGGAAGCCGGCTGATAACGGGCAGCCTGACCCCCTTCCAAATGGGAAGGATACTTCTTTTTTTTTTTTTTCTTAAAACCAGTTAATCTGTAAAAACACCGGGGTGGAATCAAAGAGTTCCCAGCTCTGCACAAAGCTCCCCTAAAGAGATGCTGAAATCGGGCGAGAAACGTTAAAACGCACTAAATGCCTTGCAGTCCCATGCGTAGAGTAATTTCTACGTTAATAAGGGGTAAAAATAGTTATAGATGTTGAATTCTTGGCTTGTGTCGGCTGCATGAATACGTTTAATGAGATTGCGCTGGCACAGGCAGGCTGGACCTTCATGCTACGCGGATTGCTTGGAAGATGAATGCCCTCATTTTCAGAGCTGGAACAATTAAGAAAAATAATCCTTTGCCTGGACCGACAGGATGAAGGATCCAAGTTTTTTTTAACGCTCCTGGACATTACACTGACAAAAATTACTTTTTCATAGCTATATCCCCCTCCCTCCTCCCAGCAGCAATAGGAAAAATGGGTTTATGCATCAGAAACTGAAGATGGGGGGCAAATACTCGGAGGTAACAGGGAACCATGCAGATGAGATGAATTCCCCTCCGAGTTTCCTGTGTGCATTTCAAAACCTGAAATGAGGCCTGTTGTGGGACACAATGAGTCCACTTAGTAGGTTTTCTGGAGTATTAAGACGCAGTTTTAACAATGAAACAACCGTTTGTTCCTGCAGAGGACTTGGGCCATGCTTACCCATTGTGTATTTTGCAAACCTTTTTTTTTTTTCCCAAATCTCAGCCAAAAAAACATTTCCAAAGGGTCATTCCGATGGAAAGGCTTCGACTTGGCAAAGCATTTGCCGTCCTTGCACGCTGTTTTCCCCCTGCTGCTGTCAGCAGGATTGAACTGCTCGCCCCGTTTCCACAGCCAGGAGGCTGCGCTGTACATTCGTTTCTGCCTGTGCACCCGCTCTGACCTGGGGATGTGGGGCCAGCGGAGAGCCAAACCTTTTAGGTTTTTAAGTACAAAACGTTAAAACGTCTTTATAGTCTGTCACCGAGAAGGTAATAGAAATATGAAAGGTGCTCAGCGCGTGTTTCAGTTTAAGCACTTCACACGGGTAGAGGGTGTGGGTCTCAGGTGGGGCTGGGCAAGGCACTGCCTGCGCCTGGGGCCCCGATAATCCCACAGAGAAGGGAGGTACACGTCACAAAACCCCTTAGCAGCTCTGAAAATGTCCTTTTGACAGATTCTGAATTTGTAAGGGATACAAAAGGGACCTCTTGCACCACTTGCATTTCACTCTCGTTGCTGTGAAGCTCCGGGCTTGGAAAACAAGCCTTTTCTTTTCTCGGCAGAAATTCGAAGATGACATCTCCTACTGGACAAGCTTAGGGCGAGCCCGTAACGAATACTATGGTGGATACTATCAGCACCACTACGACGAAGATTCACCGATCGGCCCACGGAATCCGCACACCTTCAGGCACGGAGCAGGGGTCAACTATGATGATTATTAATGCCATTTATCCTACTATAGCTGGGGCCTGTGGGGCTGCACTGGGTGAGGCCGAGTCCTCCCTCGGTCAGAATCGCCCTGCTTTTCCTCTTACTCATGGAAGACAGCAAGAGAGGAGGAACCGCCAGGCTTTGAAGAAAGCAACGACCTTTTTTTTAAGTATCATTACTTAGTAGTACACTACATATAAAGTGTTATAGAAATAAAGCTTTTTTGATAAAATAAAGAGGCTGCCATTGTTTAGTAGAGTTTGTAACAGCAGGTTTAATTCCAATTGTATTACTACAGATTCCTTTTTAAGGGGCTTTTTTCATTTGCTTTCCTACAACCAATTGCAGAATTACATTATATCATCCGGTGTGGCATATAGAACACACAATATAAGCCAATATATTTCAGATGTGCCTGCTGATTCAGGCTTGTGTCCACAAAGAAATCCAATTATTCTTGGGGGAAAGGGAAAAAAACCCCGTCCTCTCCACTGCAGCGCTGCCTTGTGGCCTCCTCTGCTGTTTCCCTAGCTATTGCGCTCAGCCCTCTGTTCCTGTTGGGGCAAGGGCACAGATGTTCACAAAAGCTAAATTCGGTGCTGAGGAGCTCACCTCTGTGCAAAGCCCGAGAAAGGAAAGGGCTCTCCAGGGACAGGGCTCCGAGCAGGGACCCGACTTCAGAAGGAATTGCTGAGGCTCACAGCATCTAACCTGAGTGGCCCCAACCCCTCCCGGGCACGATAACCCAAAGGCTATCTTGGATGAATACTCCCCTTTGTGTCATTTCCAGTTAGCCGCCAGCTTTCAGTCTGGCTCGAAACAGGGCATAAAACAGCAAAATCAGCTATTTAAAATGAAGTTAGTATCACACAGCATCCAACACAGTCCCCAGACATAATTTTCCTACCATGAAGTTGCCTCTGCCCCTGTGTCAAACTGGCATCTGTACACACCAGGCTGAGCATCAAAACGTGTCAGAGGCTGGGCATTTGTCATCGAAGGAGGGTGGGTTAAAGAGGGGCTGGTTGGTGGGGTTGTGTGTGTTAAGGACCCGGAAACAGGCTAATAAAAGATAGGACCAACGTTTCTACCACAGCATCCTCAGCTGCGTTGCTGCTTCTCTCTCGTTACTGTAGAGAAAGTCCTGGCACGGACCTGAGCCTAGGGGAGGGATTTCAGCTGTCAGGGGGAGCTTGGTGGGGGAAGGCACTGCTGAAGCTTGACGAGCGTAGAGATTGGGAAGAGGCAGGTGAGGAAGGCTGGCTGGCTCCGTGACTTGAGGAGCTGAAGGACTGGGATGAAGAGAGATGAAATGCGTACGGCCAAGTACAGCAGTGGGAGAAGACAGCATGGATGCTTTAGCTGTCTGTCATCTAAAGCTTACAAGAAATTTCCAAAGCAGCTAACGCAGGAGTCAGGGTGAGGATTAGCAGGCGTACGGGAGTGAACCAGAGAGAGTAAGGGAGAGAGTAATGTCTCCTGGACCCTCTCCTCACCTCTGCCCCCAGCATGATGTACTATGGAATGAAATACTCCCTTGGTCAGTTTGGGTCAGGTGTCGGAAGTCTGTGTTCCCTGTGAGAGCTGGGAACGCAGCTGCAGGATCAGAAGCGGAGAAAGACTTTGAATCTGGTGCAGGCATTCCCCAGTGCCAGCTCAGAACTTATCAGTGCTGCTCTCTGCATCCAGGGACAGCTTCCTAGCAGCCATGGTAGAGAGAGTTCACTATTTCCTTGCTGAATCCAGCATACCCCCGTTGTGGGATGGAGTGGTGTCCAGGAGAGGAAGCCCAGCACTATCCCGCTCCCTACAGGAACGCTTCCAGGTAAGGCAGCTCTTTGCCGAGGGAGCCAAATTGAACAAACGCATTAGTCGCTCCTCTGCACGCAGATACGCGCTGGCCTAACACGCTCCAAAACCTCAGCTTTCCCCTAGGTTTTTGTGGGACTGTTCTTAGCAGAATCCTTGCCAGTTCATTCAGTTTAAAATGGTGTTTCCTTGACAGAAGGCCCTTTATTCCAAATATGGAATAATCTTATTCTTAGTCAAACACACACTCTTTTGCACAGTTGGAAAACACCTATTCCTAGAAGAATACTTCCATTTTGCGCCCTATCAAAAAAATCCACCAACTTGGCAGCGTTTGAGCCACGCTGATAATTTCCATCACTTCCCAGAATTTACAACAACTGGGAATTCAGACCTGCTGAATAAGGAATAATAATAATAATAAAGTGCTGTAAATAAATACCATCCCTCCCTAGGCCTTTGTAAGCCACGTCCATTCCTGCAGGCCGGCTCAGTCCAGCAGCCTTCTGTGCCTTGCCGGCTTGCAACCAACTCTATGATCTCTCTCTTCTGGATTCTCCAAGAGAAAAAATAAAATCTTTTCCATTACGTTGTGCTGCATGCTGACGTTTCCCACCATGTACTGAGGTCTGGCTGGGAGAGAGCTACCTTTCTTCGTTACAAGACGTACAAGGCTGCCCCTGACAACGCCCCGATGTTGCTGCGGTGGTCGAACAGTGCTCACACAGCACGAAGACCACCCATTGCCCACGCTGTCCCCCAGCATGTAGGCCCCTGGGGCTGGGAGAGAGGCTGGGAGGGGACACAGGTGGGACAGCTGACCCAAACTGATCAGATAACAACTTGCTCAACACTAGAAGCGGGGAAGAGGAACTAGGGTGTAGGGGGTTTTGTCTTCCAGGACAGCTATTGCCGAGACTGGCTGGGCATCGGTCTTTTTTAGGGGAGATGGTGAGAGGCCTTCGCATCACCTGGCTTTTTTCCCTTCTTCCCTTCACTTATTAAACTGCCCTTATCTCAACCCTGCAGTTTGCTCACTTCTGCTTTCCTTATTCTCCCCCGTCCCGCTGGGGCAGGGGGAGCAAACGGCTGTGAGGGCACCCGGCTGCTGCCTGGGGTCATCCCACCGCAAGGCAGTAAACTGAGGAGAGGGCACCCTCCTTCTTGCAGAGAGGTGCACCGGCCTGGAAGTGCAGCAGTCGCAATGACGCAGAAGTATGTGCAATAAGCTACGAAGACAGCAAGCCAGTATGAGCCATCACAGGTTTGGGTGAGAGGAGGAAGATTTAGGTGAAAGAAGGAAGCATTCCTGTAGGGAGATTTGGGTGAAAGGAGCAAGGTATTAAAAAAATAAAAGTGCTTGTCAGATATGCATGGGGTGCTTCAAAATTCACTACATCAACAAAGTTCATAGAATCATAGAATGGTTTGGGTTGGAAGGGACCTTAAAGATCATCCATGGCGGTGGCCATTGCTCATTGTGGCTCCCTCCAAACGGGGACGGCTTGGCCATGGCCCAGCTTCATGTTTCCAGGCGGGATGCCGCCGCACTCCCCCATTGGCGCGTGTCAGCCTGGCAAGTGTCAGTCAGACTGATGGGGCAGTCCCGCCTCCTTTGCTGGCAACACCTCTAGGACAACCCTTCTGTGTCAAAGCAGGGAAGTGCTACTGCTGTGCCCCCACAGCCTCTCTGGTATACTCCCACAAGTCTAGACAGAGATGCTCCTCTCCAGGTCCAATGTCTTCATCAACAACAGTCTTAAATAAATATTTATTTTTCTTCTTTATTTTGAGGCCCTCATTCCCTCAAAGTTCCTACTTGTAACACAAATACTTTGGGGATGGAGCACTTTTACCCCAGGAGTGTTTCCTGGATGGAAGATGTAGGCTGCCTTGCTCAAAACAGCATTCTCTGCAGTGGGGTGGACAGAGCCCACATTGCAGTACTTAATGTCACCCCACAGTTCCCTTAACTTCACATTTTGGACCTTCCAGCTGCTTCAGCCACGGCATGGACCAAGGCATTCCGAGGATCCACCTCCTCGCTGAAGAGGTGGTCAGAAACTAGGCAAAACGTAGCAAGAATGAACCAGCTGTTGCTTGTTCCAGCCTGTAAATGGCAACAAAACAAGGGGAACAAGAAGTTGTTGCCATGTTTGCTGTTACGGAATAGCCACGTGAGAGAAGGGAAGGGACTGGGAAAAGGAAGAGGACCAGAGTTCGGTTTTTGACAGAAATATGAATTGTTATTTCAGAAAAACCTCCCTGTTAATACAGAATCGCATTCAGGAATCTCCTGCCACACAAAAGGAGCCCTGTTTTTGTCCAGAGCTATTGCTGCTGTTCCCGGCAGCATCAGGGAGTCAGTGCCACACATAAGGCATTCCCTTCTCCAACCACCTGTGATCCAAGTGCAGGGAAACGTTCACAACAGAGCAACTACGGATTTGCGGTGCCTACATTCCCCCCGACGGCAGGGGGAGAATGTATGGATGTTAGGGCTAGCAATGGTGAGTACACAGTTCCCTTGCTGCAACAGAGCATCTTCTTCCTGTGGACAGGTCCTCTCTGGTTACCCTCTAACAACCTCCAAGGATTCTGTGGCCTCAAGGAGCATTAAACTCAATAATAATAAAAGCCTGGGGACTAGCTCAATCCATCACACTAATCAAAGCCCCGTTTTGCCCTCTGTAGCCTCTTCTCCAGCGCTAATGGATTTATGCAACTGTGTGTGTCTTCCTGCTCCTCCTTTGCCTCTTTCTCTCAACTTTGAAACTCAATTCCAACCCTATCTGACAGAAGGGAAAGGTTTTTTATATACATTACATTTTTAAAAGTTTCTTGAAAAAAAAGAGATGACAGAGAGGCATTCATAAATGCCCAGAGGGTGGTGAGCTCACTGGCTATTAAACCCGCCGGAGTCGATCTATATAGGTTAACAGAAGCTGCAAACGCTCTAAACTCAGGAAGACTGTCAGATTATGATTTCCCCACACAGCAAAAAAATCTAACCTAAAGATAGACATGAGGCTTCTCTCTACATTCATGGAACTACAAATAAATTAGGTCTGCAAGCCTCACTGTAGCTCGTCTGCAGATCAGCAATGTGGTTTGCAGAGCTTCCCAACAGCCTACATACAGAAATGAAGCTATTAAAAAAAAAAAAAATCCAACTGTGGGCCTCACACTGTGATAACTTTCA